ATTAAACTAAAGTGTGAGTCCTGACCTCATGAAGGAGCATGCGAGCAGGACGAGGCCGCCGTAGACCAGCGGTTCGCTCAGCTTCTGAAACACCTGCAGCTCAGATGAAAATTCGTCCATGATGTCTTGAGACACCTGCTGCAGAGAGCGGCTGATGTTGGCGTCCACGTCAAAGGTCACCGAGGCCGAGATGTTGAAGTCAAACTCCCGCTTCATTCGCTCAAACACTGCAACGGCGGCTGAAGGAGGACAGCGGCAGGATTAATGTCGTCAATGAAACTTTAAAAACAGTCTGAAATAACAAACTTACGAGCTGCCAGACGTTTCCTCAGATGGCTGGCGATGTACGAGGGGATGGTGCAGAAAAGCTCGCCGGCTGAAACAGACACAAAGTTTTTAGTTTTAAAGACGTTTATCAGAACTGAAACTAACGAGCAGCGTAATGACTGAATGATGAGTCAGTTATATTTGTGATTTGTGATCTATAAATGTTCATCATGAGGATCCACCCATGGACCACATGTCTGAGACATGCCGAGTCAAAGGCTGTCTACTCTGGTAACATCACTATGACATCATCAGACAAGATGACATAATACGCACCGCGAGCGAGGCCACAGAGCGGCAGGAAGCTGTCCACGATATCACACAGGAAGTTGAACTCTCCCAGCAGGTCGGAGCAGTCGGCTCGAGCCTCGGCGAACACCGCCCGGCACTTCTTGTACGGGGAACCCAGTGTGGCGTTGCACACATCGCCAATGTGCACCAGGAAGTGGAGAACGTTCCTTAGAGTGCGAGCTGTGAGGTCAGAGGTCAGAGGTCAGAAGTCATGGCTGTGTCACATGACCGCTATTCACAAAATATTAACTGTTATTGATTTGGTGTAATTAAAAATACTGTTTCCTTTAATGAGATGGACTCAGAAGATCTTCAAGGTCTTCTGGAACCTCCATAAGGGCTTCTTCATGACCTCTAAGGACCTCATCAAGGACGAATAAAGCCTCCCTTATTTGTATTTCTACAATAAACTCAGCAGCTGTTTGTTACATGAAACTGAACAAACACTCACCAACATGGCGGACGCTGTCGGTCAAAGTGTCAAAGAAGTCCTGAACTCTTCCTGCGACAGCGTGAGCATTACTGCTAATCTCTCTGATTCTGTCCAACACGGCTGCAAACACACACACACACACACACATTTCAAACAACTGAAAGACTGAAAAAGCTGAAACATCTGAATCTTTGCTCGTTTACTCTTCGTCAGTCCTTCATCATTTTAGAAAGATCCTGAAACATTGAATCTGTATGTTTAATTCAGGTTTTAGGATTTAAATTTCATATCATCAACTTATCTTTTATTCTGATTATTTGAACACAAATTTAAATTCACCACATGCTGCTACAAATAGATGACGAATCCCTGCTAAGAAAAATCTAGACTGAAATGTAAGAGGTGGTTGCAGAGGATGTCAGCAGTATTAACAGAGGTATTAGGAGTAATATCAACAGCACTGACGTTAGCATTAACACCAGTGTCAGCAGTAGTATTAAGAAAAGTATTCAGAGTAGTATTAACAACAGTATTAACGTTCTAGTATTTACATTATTTTGTTGTGATGGTGGAGGTGGGCGGGTCTTACAGAAAAGGGGTGTGGCCGCTCTCTGCATCAGTTCCTGTGTTTGATTGGCTGCCAGCTCGGCGCCACACAGCAGACTGGCGGCGGCTCGCTCAGTGTTTTCTAACGTGTTGGTGAGAGGACCGTTCAGCAGCACCGACACAAACAGGAAGAAGAGGAACTTCCTGCCGTGACCTGAAACACAGGAGAAAAGTTACTGTGATAGGCTGAGCAGGGCCACGCCTCCAACTGAAGCCCCTGCAGGCGACAAACTGACCTGAGCACAGTGACGGCAGCAGCACGGAGACGTCGGCGCGGACGCTGGCTGACAGTCCCATACCGAAGGCAGCCATGGCGGCCACGGTCAGCGTGGTGTAGACGCACAACCACAGAGGCTGTTTCTGCAGGAAGAGAGCCGTGACTCCGTACAGAGATGCCAACAACAGCCCTGAAGCAAACGCCAACAAGCTCCGCCCCCCATCCAACAGGTGACCTTTGACCTTTCTCCACCTGCTGAGGTCAGAGCGCCTCGCTGACCTGAGGAAGAAACATGACATCATCATAGAGGTTAGAAACAAGGTGGTCTTAAGTCTCAGTACAAATACTGAGGTACAGTGCAGTGCAGAGTGGCGGAAATTAGCTAGCCAGTATAAACAGGGACCCAGGTGGGAAATAGTAAATGGACTGAACTTTTATAGCGCCATTTGAGTCTTCCGACCACTCAAAGCGCTTTTGCCTGACAACTCACATTCACCCATTCACACACACACAGTCACACACTGGTGGCTGAGGCTACAGTACATGGTGTCACCTGCTACTTCCCAACCATTCACACTCTCACACACTAATGGAGCAGCCATTGGGAACAATTTGGGGTTCAGTACACGGCGTTTCTGCCGGAGCGCTCTGAATGTTGAAAAAACTTAATCTCAGAGGAGAGAAGCCCCACATCATCTTTTTCCCCATTGTCCAATGGGATAATTGGAGAGGCGGGGCTTCTGTGGTGGTCATGACAACAAGTTTACAGTTGGTAAACAATGGAGGAGAAACTGGTGGTAGTGGTTGATGGATACCCAGAGCTATACGACTTTACAAAACACAGTTAGCACCATCTGAATAGAAAACAGCAGATAAGTGCAGTACTGTAAACGTCCATGATGGAGGAGAAGCTCCTGGACCAACTGGTGGTACTCCCCATGATCCAGCCTCTTTTTTAGGGTCTCATGTACCCACACAGATCTCTGTTTATCTGCTGACAGCCTCTCACCCTCAACCAGAGCTACAGACAGCACCCTCTGCCTCAACATGGCAGCAGCTACACACTGATTACTGCAGGAAGGTTAGAATAAGGAGGTGATGGAGTGGTTGCCTGGCAACAATAAAAAGACTCAGAAAGTGTTTTAATTTTTTTTTTACTAGTGGCATTCAATTAATATGAAACTATTTTTGATGGGTTAAGTCACTTTTCATGCAATCTGGAAATCCATCGGTAAAAAAAAAAAAACTTCCTTTCTTCTACAGTGTAGATTGCAGAATCTGTCTTGAGAGATTACTTTTCATGTAAAAACATTTCATGGTTCAGCTTCAGACACTCTCCCTTTGAATGATATCAATAACCGTAGTGTATAATGTTGAGGTTTAGACTGGACAGAACAATCACTGAGTCACTCTGGGTCGCTGTGACGAACAAATTTTAAATATTTTTACAAAAATAATCAGCAGATTAATCCGTGATGAAAATAATTAGCTAGTTCTTGTCTTGTTATTAGGAATCTAGCTTCTTGTTAGCCTTTAGCTTCTTGTTAGTCAACAGCTGTGGTATTTCTCTCACCTGTGGAGGACTCCTCTGACAGCCTGCCTGACTCCGCCCCTCTCCACCTGGACTGTGATGTCACATTTCATCAGGTGTCTCTTCCTCTTTTCACTCTTCATCCTTTATTTCTGTCTCACTGCCGACTCCTGTGTCTTCATGTCTCCTGGAGACCGAACAAACCTGATGTCACTCTGAGAGGATTCTGACCAACTGTCAATCTGACCAACTGTCAAACTGACCAACAATCAGACCAATTGACCAGCAGCAGACGTGTCTCCTAAAGTCTCCTAAAGTTTGTTTGAAGGACACGGTGGACGAATGACGTCTCACAGTGAGCTGCACAGACCTTCAGCTCCTCACAGCAGTGAGTTCAACATTTATCAGCTTCAAACTGTTTCCTCTGATGATGTTTAGAAAGCTAACTGTTAGCTAGCAAACAGTTAGCAGTTAGCTAATGCTAGCTAATGCTTGTGTCTGTCCTGCAGCTGTGGAGAGGATCAGTTTGTCCGTCCTGCCTCCTGCTGTCCATCAGTTCCTCTTCAGCCAATCAGAAGAGTTTCAGGTGTCTCACCTGGTCTTCAGGGCGCTGTTTGGAGCAGTGAGCGGTGCAGGTAACTGAGTTCACTGACTCATAGTGACATGATGAATATGAAGGCTGAGGAGAGATTATAACCTGGAGACAGTTGTTGATATTTGGAGTCTTTAATTGCCTGTTTTTAAGTCTTCTTAACATGTCTTTTTTTATTTAGTTTACTCTTTAATTTTTAATGTTTTATTTATATATATTGTTTTGAATCATATCCGTTGATTATAATCAATACATTCAGTTTTTAATTTAATTTTAGTAGGCCTATTCTAAATTTCAATTATTTTTTATACAATTTATTATTTTTATCTAGTTTTTTCATCCTTAAATGTTTAATTTATTTTTAACTATGATACAAGATTTTTGTATCTAATATTTATTATTCTGAAAAAGATCATTTGAAATTTATTTTGTTCTTTTATTATAATATAATTGAATTTTAAGTATTCTAAAATTCTTTTTTATTCAAGTCTTTTATTTATTTTTTTTCATTCTTAGATTTTTCATTTATTCTAGATATGATATAAGTTTTAGTAACTAATATTTATCATTCAGAAAAACTGTATTTTTAAATTTAATAATTTTTTTATTATAATATTATTCTTAAATGTTTAACTTATGTTAAATTATAATAACACATTTATTTTTTTTACAGCAACTGATATCATCATTTATCATTTTTTATAAATGTTTTAAACAATGTGTTTATTAAATCACATTATTACATTTAATCCATAAAAATTATGAATTTCTTGTTTCAATGTGACATTTTTCCAATTTATTTGTCGACCGATTGATTAATTAAATATATATATTAAATATCAAAAAATCTCCTCAGCTGTTTTTTCAGTCCAGTGAACACAGATTAGTGACCTGTCATCGTGTCCATCTGTCCGTCAGGTCTGTTCCTCGGAGTCTCTCACAGCCTCCCACTGACCTTTGACCTGAAGCTGGCAGCAGCAGCGTTCTTCATCAGTGAGGAGACGAAACTCTCTCATCAGTTTTTAGCTGAAATATTGAAACATCTGTATGAAACAAACACGTCTGCTCACATCTGTTCCAGCTGTGTGTGCGGTGGGCGGAGCTTTGTCTTCCTCCGCCAGGTGTTCTTTCCTCCTGATGTTTCCCAGCATGCTCGGCTCCCGCGGTCGAGCCTACCTGATGCTGTTCATCCTGACGGTGCTCTACAGAGGTGAACACACACACACACACACACACACACACACACACACACGCCAATATACAGTTCAGTTAATGATTATTAAATCATAACTCAGTTCATTATTGTAAAGTGTTGTTTCATCGTTCTTATTCTGAAATGTTTTTGTTTTATGGGACTTTATTTCATGACATAATTTTTTATTTCAAAATGCACTTTTTGAAAGTCAGTTTTTTTGTTTTTTTTTTGTGTTTTTGCATAGTGACATTTTTTCCCCATACTTTATTTTCATTTATTTGTTTTATAGTGTCATTTTATTTCACAGTGTCACTTAATTTCAGTCACATTCTATCTTTTAATCTCACTTTTTATTTTATGTCACATTTATTTGATAGTGTCATTTAATATTTTTAATGTCAGGCCATAGAAATGTGTAATTTGCATTAAAACAGCTTTTTAAATTTGCATAAACTACAAAGAAACTTCACAAAACACTGCAACACTTTGCTCCTCTCAACTGTGAACAGTTTATAATAATCAAACTAAAATTAATTTTCTTGCACAAACAAGTTAAAATGGTTCAGAAAGGTGAGAACAGACACGTTGTTACTACAAACTGCAGTTTCTCTGAGTGTCTCATGAAGCAAAGGCAGTGAGGTTATCTGCAGTTTATTCATCCTGCATCAACCTTTAATGTCATGTGGTGTCAGAGGCACCATATTATATACTATATTGTTATATGTACTTCATGTAGTATTGATGATACACAGATGTGTGTTATGTCTCCATACATGGTATCTTCCTGCACTGCACTGACCTGTGCTGACATCTTTTAGTTTTGTGTTAATGATATGATGATGTGTCTGTTTTCTATATTCCAGGTCCAGTGTGTAACATCCAGCGTAACGTGGAGACGGCTGCTCTGTCTCTGAGCTGTAATCTGGATCTGCAGGTTCATCACAGCAAGTTACTGTGGAGGGACGCCATCAGGCCGTTTGTCCTCATCACACAGGAGCTCAAGGTGAGACACGGAGACACGGAGAGCTAACAGCTATGCTAGCATGTTAGCATGCTAACAGTAGCTAATTATCCATAAACACAAAGAACATTTTATCCTTATATTTGCAGTATGTCCTGACTTAGATTTACTCTCGTTTTCTTCTCGTACATATTTAATGAGGATTGCTGTAACTATCGTACATGTGACAATTAATAACCTGAAAGATGAAACATCAGAGGATGACCAAAGTTATTACAGTTTATCCTGAGAGAATCATGATGAACATTTCATCACAGTCCACCCTGTAGTTGTTGAAATGTTTGAGTCTGGACCAAAACGACACACAGGCTGACATCCACAGAGCGACGCTGCTAAAAAAGAATTACACAAATAAAAACAGAACAAAAGAGTGAACACCAGAAGAAGGTCGGAGGTCGTTGATCCGTCTCTTGGTTCTCGTTCAGGATGACGAAGCAGAGTTTCAGTCAGAGGCTCGAAGCGTCAGCGAGAAGTTTCAGAACATCAGAGACGAGGTCGTCCTTCAGTACGGATACGACCGGTTCAAACCCAAACACACCGTCGCCCTCGGCAACAGCACCCAGGAGCAGTTCACCTCCAAGACCATGATGCAGTGCGACAGTGAGAGGACAACGCCAAGATGAGATTTATTACACCTTAGACACATTTCACATCATTTAATGTGTGTGTGTGTGTGTGTGTGTGTGTGTGTGTGTTGTCATCCAGGTGTGGTGGATACAGGTGTGCAACGATGTGTTAAGTGGTTCAACAACAGGTGGGCGGAGTGTTTGGCGGCGATCCCCGTCCCCATCATCAACCACGTCCTCTGCATCTCCATGAAGTTCCACTTCCTGTGTGATGTCATGAGAGGTAAAAGGTCACACAGACGGGGGTCATATGTCATCAGTAACATGCTAATATCTGTTCTTCTTCTTCTTCTTCTTCCTCTTCCTCTGTGTCAGCGATGACTCCGTGGTGCAGGGAGCAGATCCCGTTGGAGGGAAACTTCGGTCGTCTGTTTGATGGGCTGAACCTCTCAGTGGACCTTCTGTCCAGACAGTTCAGCACCGACGTCGTCCTGCAGGTCACCAGCTCCTCCAACACCACTCAGGACTGACTCTATTAGTTCAGTGAATCCTGACCTGTGTGACCTCTGACCTCCTGCAGGAGGCGCAACAGCAGGAGGTGCTGGGTGGAGCCGTGCTGGATGAGTTCACTCAGGCTGTCGGAGGATCCTTCCAGAGGCTGAGGACGACCATGGAGCAGCTGCTCAACGTCCTGCAGCTGCTGCTCTCCTTCACCTTCATCACCATCTTCACCCAGTAAGATCTCAGACATGACATCAGCGTTCTGTTTCTGCTGAGTCACACACCAGCATCACCTCCTCCTCCTCCTCTCAGGGCCTTTGGTTACCTCATACAGTACAGGAGGGATGTTCGATTCGACAACGCTTACATCACCACGTACTTCAGACAGATCGACGCCCGCAGAAGGAAAGCGGTAATGACATCATCATCATCATCACTGTGATTTACCTGCAGTACCTTAGAATGATCTTGACTTGTTGTCTCGTCTCGTGGTGCGTTCAGGGGAAGCGCCACCTGCTGCCTCTGAGTCAATCAGAGAAGAAGAAGTTAATCGACCCCTGGAGTCCAAAGATCCACTCTGAGGAGCTCCAACAAGTGGTGGGTTCAAATATAATATTTATGTTAATGACACTGATGTCCTTTAAACGGTCTCACCTGTTAAAACACAGCCTGTAATGCACTGATAAAATATAATATCCCGAGCTAAACGACCCACAGTCCCGTCATTATAAAGACAATGACCCTAAACATACTTCCTGGTGTGTCACAGCTCTAGAGATCGGCTCTTCAGGTGTAATGTCAAGTTTAATTAGCAGCTGTCTACACATGGTCTGCAGCTAATGCAGAGGCAGAGAAACTTCAGATCTTTCAGTAAAAGTAGTAATAACTTAAACGGCACAGTTGCAGAAAGGGGGAACAGAGTAGTCTCACCTTTAAGCTGGCTGCGGAGGTAGTAACAGTGCCGAATGGACATCTGTGTAAAAGGGACAGCTGGCAGGATGGGGCAGGTGTGATGTTTGACGACGTGTTATGTATGCGACCCACCAAAGGAGATTTTAAAAGCACTTAGTAGCAGTTAGCAGCTAACTCTAAGAAGGAGAGTGGACAAAAATGTCTGCAAATAGTGGAAACAATGAGGTCCAGGAGCTCCTTACCCTCTGAGGAGAGGACAAGATCAGCCGCTACATAACAGGACGATGAACGAGTGATGATGTTGTGTCATTGTTATTGTTGCAGACGTGTAGGTTAAGTGTCACACTAGAGGTTGATGCTGTTGTGTTAATGTCACACCCGTCATGCCTCTTGCTTCCACGATGCCATGACAGTGTCAAAAATCACACACTGGAGCAACACGATGATGCCGTCCTTTAGTTCTGTGTAAAAAGGTTAATGAGTCAGCTCCAGCCTCTTGTCCATATATGGTCACTTCTGGCTCCAGAAAAATCAAAATGGCGACGGCCAAACTGCCGAGCTCAAGGCTTCAGAACAAGAGTCCATAAACTAATGGGTGATGTCACAGTGACATTGTGTGTGTGTGTGTTTGTGTATGTGTGTGTGTGTGTGTGAGACAGACGTCAGGTGTGTTTCAGGTGCTGTCTGTCACTCTGCTGTCTGTCGTCCTGCTGACCATTGACTTGTCTCTGTTCCACGTGTTGGACGTCATCAGCAGACACACCTTCACCCAGTTCAACCTGACCAGTAAGAGCACGCACACACACACACACACACACACACACACACACAGTACCGATAAGACCAAGCTTATTTTTTAACACTGACAGTAGGTCAGAGAAGATCCCTTCAGTGGTCACTCTGGGGGCAAAGGTCACTGAGAAGGTTAACAACTACTAGTACTACTACTGTTACTATGAACACCTGTACTGTGAACACCTGTACTATGAACACCTGTACTATGAACACCTGTACTGTGAACACCTGGGCATTCTGCTGGATGATTCCTGTACTTTAAGCCACATAAACAGAGTTTGGCTAAAAAAAAATGAAGCTTAGATTAAAGGACTTCAGCATTTTCCAACCTGGACCCTATCTCTTGTGTAAATTGATCAAAAATTGTCAGAGGGTTTCTGGGTAATGGAGTCCTCTCTGCAGGTCTTCACGAGGTGGACATCAAAGTGGGCGGAGACTCCATGATGGCCCGCCTCCTGAGGAAGACGGTGTTAGCCTTCAACAGCTCGTCCAGCTTCGACATCCACACCGACAACCAGGGTGAGTCACACGTCCCACTGTGTTCTGTGTCATTTCCTGCTGTATCCTGCTTGGTTGGTTTGTAGTAGTGGTGTAGTCATAGCAACGGCCACTGTGTGGTCTGAGTTTCACAGCAGTTAATCATCCGTCAGCGTATCACAGTGACATCAGAACCTCCTTCCTGGACTGACGACCAGAGATTTCACCACATCAGCTTTCAGCTCAGACATCCCATAATAACACAGCGTCAGGAGCCTTCAGCAGCAGAAACTAAAGAAAACATACTAATTATATTACATTCAATTTCTGCCAACATATCCTCCTGAATCCTCCACACTGGAGCTTTAATGGAAACTTCTATTTGAGAAACATGGAGATGTTTTCTCTCAGGAAGTTCTTTAACCTCATTTAAAGACAGACTGTAAATCAGACGGTCGCTCCACCATCACCAACGTTCACCCCTCAGGACTGAACTGACTGAACATGTGGGGTGTCCACATACTTTTGGCCACATTATTATTTTAAGTGAACCAGCAGAGGGCGACAGTGTCTCTGTGTATCACCTGTCTGTCTCTTATGGTCTCAACAGCAGACCTGCACACAGTTCAATAAGACACTGTAAATATGAATACACTGAAATATATAATATACAACACAATAACACAGCTGCTCTGTCTGTCTGTCTGTCTGTCTGTCTGTCAGTGTGTGTGTCTCCCCCCTCCTCCCTCTCTGCAGGTGTGTACATCAGCTGTGTGTGTTGTGTCCTGTTGGTGGCGCTCTGCAGCTGCCTTCAGGTGTACACCAACCGCCTCCGTCGGGTCATCGCCGCCTTCTACCACCCACAGGTACACACACACACACACACACACACACACACACCAAGAAATCTTATAGCCGAATTGATTATATTTTCATATAGAGTGACGTCAGATCATTCTCATAGATCAAATAATCTTTCCCATAAAATCTGGAGAATATCTTAATAGAAAACATCTGACTAATATAGAATTTCTTAAATATAAAAAAATCATATTGAGATATTTGTAAGAACAAATATCAGAGATATAACTCCTGGTGACAGACCACCAATAGATCTGATATGGGACACATTAAAGGCTGATATAAGAGGAATGATGATGTCATTTTCTCTATAAAAGAATTAGATAAAGAGACTGACAGATTAGTAAAATAATATTCATAAACAAACCAAAGCCAGGGACGACTAAGAACGACTGCCAAAGATGAAATTAGAACATGAAAACCTTCTGTTTAAGAAAGTCTAAGATATTAATCATAATATATATATAATATATCAGCAAATAACATTAACAGGTGAACAAATGAGCTGCTGAGTTTAAAGAATAATGTAAAGACACAATGGAGCTCTGAAAGACGGCGTTTCCAACACTCAGTACAGATAATGAAATAATTACTAATAACTAAGATTTATATAAATCTGACAAAGAATTCTGGTGCAATGCCCCTTCTAGAAATAATTTTAAAAAGTTTACTGAGAACTTTAAACTAAAGTATAAAGTTTCAGCACGATCAATAAGTTTGGACCAACCTCTGATGGAAATCTGTTCTGTATTCTGCTCACAGATCAGTTGGTTATTTTAAATGTTATTATTAATGCATGACAGCATCGTGTTCTCCCATAAACACTGTACACAGCTATTATTAATGTGATCAGAAGCAGGACTGGAGGACAAGACTCCGTCTGAATACTGACCTGTCACTTTAATTATCATCATCATCATTATTATTATTATTAATAATAATAATAATAAACCCTCGGTCCAACAGCAGTCGTAGTATTTGTGGTGTTTCATAGTAAACAATGATGTCACTTCCTCTGCTGAACTGATGAAGAAGCAAACCGCTCAATCTCATTAACACACACACACACACACACACACACACACACACACACACACACAGTGTTTAAAGCCTGTGAGCTGTAAATCTGATCTGAGAGCAGATTAATGTAAGAGCATTATAACAGAGCTGACGGGCTGAACTGTGGACACACACACACACACACACACACACACACACACACACACACACAGAGGTGTCACATCATGTCATCAACAAACAGATCCGTGTGAGACTCTCAGACAGGAACATTGTTTATTTTCATTCAGGAGCACCAACATGAGGAGGAGATCTTGTTTACTCTCCAAAGACAAACAACTTAACTCAAGTGAAAATACAAAATAATAAAAAATCCTTTGAGGGTTTTGTTTCTTATGAGTTTATTATTTTGTTTTTTACTGTAAAATCTTAATATGAAAAGTAACAAGTAAAAACTTCCTCCAGCTGAACACATGTGAAACATGATCTCATATCTGAAGTCACAACTGATTTTTCTTTATTCAAGTTTCACCTCTGCAGTAATTATAATATTTAATATATACCAGTGTTTAAATCTGCTGTACTACAAAAGGCAACAGTGCACCATCATCCAAAATAATCAAATTTAATCATAATCATAAATTAACTTAACAAACCCCAGACACTCCTGTAGGGCCGTGTCACAGAGGAGTCAGTTGAAAAAAGGCCCTGACCAATGTTAAATTATCTGATTCTCTCAGTTCATATGAACCTTCCCATGTCTGTCTGTCTGTCTGTGTGTCTGTGTGTCTGTCTGTCTGTCTGTCTGTGTGTCTGTCTGTCTGTGTGTCTGTCTGTCTGTGTGTCTGTCTGTCTGTCTGTCTGTGTGTCTGTGTGTC